GTAATTCCCTTGTTTCAAGCTCGTGTATTCCAGTTTCATCTGTCTTATAAACTGGTCATCAATGCACTTATTCTTGAACTCTTATACAATTTTAATCACATCATTTAATCTTTTAACGTTCTTATGGTGACAATTGTCCACCATACTCTAACTTACCAAAGTAGTAACAAAACTACTCAATTCAACATCTCCACTTTGAAGAAATGAAAACCTTCTATCATATCATTCAACCAAAGGTCTATAACAATAGAACCTTCCTCAAATCCACCCTTGAACTTGGGTGCTCGCAACTTTATCAACTAATTTGACACATTCTTTCTATGAGTTAAATAAGTATAAATTGAAAACACATCAGAACATTCTTCAACATGAAGAATAATTTTTCCAAATTTTATACAGGCACTTCCTGAGGTGTTCGCTCTTCTCCCTGCCTGGCCAGGGCAGGTGAATGCTATTACCTTCAGGTTTATTACCTTTCACTTCTTTCAAAGCTCTTATTATCATACTTCTATTATCACATAATAATCTATTTTTATTAGCAAGACATCATACTCCTTATACCATCAGATCAGAATTTTTCACTTTGAGTTGGCATGTACACTTTTTAAAACACTTTTGACTTCGATTTAAGCCTAGAATTGGCTAAACCGTAGCTTTGATACCATTAAATGTAACACCCCAACCCATACCCAACCCGGATACGAGTCCGAGGTGTCACATTGACTTTTCAAACTTTGACTCTTATAGAAAAAAAATAGGGAAATTTAAAACTTTTATAATATTAAAACTTATTCAAAACGTTTACAAAACTATTCAGAGCTTATACAATATATATTCTTTTGATTACATGCCATTCACCTTTTTCTGATCTGACATTTGGTAAGGAGAACTGACCTGTCTTGCTCCACATTGCTCGTTACTCTTCTCGAAACCTACGTGTGAAACAATCACACGCTAAGTCGTTGACTTAGTGAGGCATATAAACATGTAATACAACTATAATTCATATCAAATGCATGAGTAATTAGTATTACAATCATATCATATAAAAGCACACATATATAATTTCTGCAACATGTACACACATGTATATATATCATTATCAACACGTTTAACATTTCCCATTCACTATCATTAATCTTTATAATTTAACACTCTTATATAAACATTTATCTTTACCATATCATGCATTAACCAAGCAATACACCATTATGTAAATCATGTAATCTATTCCATATAACAAGTCACATATACATATCACATTTAGTATACTTGTTTAATCTCTTTATTAACCCATGTACACTATTGAGAACTTAAGGTATGTGAGTACATTGAGGTTGTACACACATATGCTGTCACCACAGCTCGATCAATGTCCCGCAGGACCTATCCAGAGGTCATAAAGATCCTCGATAACTATCCAGAGGTCATAAAGATCCTCGGCAACTATCCATAGGTTCCGAAGAACCTAGGTGAACTGTCCTTATGTTCCTTAGAACATAGGTATACTGTCCATATGTCTTGAAAGACATAGGTAATTCTGTCCATATGTTCCGTAGAACATAGGTACCCTTGACTCTTGGCATGCCAACTATACCCCTAGCTCTCATGACACATAACATGGGCATTATCTTTTATATCCTTTTTCATATTCATGTAACCATATCATATATTCATATAAGCTCATGGTTTCATTCACATATACATGTAATCACGTAGTTCATGTCAATTCTCATATGAGCTCATATTCATATAAACATAGGATTCACCCTCATGTATCACATAAACATATCATCTTACAATACATACAACACATCAATACCTATATTCACATATACCTATCATTTCATTATCCTTATTATTATTCTTATCATCACCATTAATCCCTTTTACTTACCATATTCATATCAATAACACATATACTCATGCGCACATATAATTCATAACAAATACATACTTCTATGAATTCATGTTTTCCACTATTGGAAATAGACTTATCACAAGTCTTATTTTCCCTTGAACCTCATATACTAGAGAATATGCACTCACCTTAGCTTTGCTTTGATTCGATTATAATCCTTCAATTGATCTGGAACGGGATCACGTTCTATATCTACATCATCATACATAGATCTATATTAGTATTATAACTAATATACTCTAATGGTTCACTCTTTAGACTAAGAGAAAAGGCAATTTCATCTTTTAATGAAGGTATGCATCGATGCACTACTGATGCATCGGTGCATAAAATGCATTCGATGTTTGTTTATTACTGGGATGCATCGATGCATGCCTTATGCATCAATGCACTAATTGCATTCGATGTTTCTATTTTAAAAGAGTGCATCAATGCACTACCAATGCATCGATACACCTTCAAACAATTTCTGGGTTTTAACATTGATGCATCGGTGCACTATGAATATGCATCGATGCACTCTGCCCAAAACCTCTTTTTGAACCCGAAAATTCCTTCTTTTTGGATGAAATCCTTCATATTTCATCCCCTTTCATATTCCTAACTTTCATATACATGTTTAAACTTGTTTATAATCAATTATCTCTTCTTTAACCTTAATATCCTCTCCTCTTTATTAGCTTCAAGAATCATACCCTATTTTCCACATGTTTCAAATCCAATTCTAACACTTAATACTTCTTAATTAAGCTGATGACAAGTCAAATTTAGCTTCAAATTCAACTTATCAACTCCATTCTGGAAATTCACTCAAGAACTCCAAATCTTAAATCTTTCCTAACTTATTTATCTTTTGATTTTAAGATAACTTAAGCTTTCCTTAAGATTAAGTATCACCTAAGAATCATAACCCAACTTTTAATTCAACAAATAACCAACTAATTAAGAAACTCACCTTTGAGCTGGAGCTTCACGCACAAAGAAGAAAGGAGGAGAAGAGAATTCTGGAAACATTGTTTCCCTCATTTCCCACGCGTAAAATATATATCCCCACTATCACATTTATTTAATTCCTTAAATGATCAAATGACCATTTTACCCTTTATTTCCTTTAATAATTACTAAATAACCTTCATCATATATATCCAATAATCATTGAACTATTTCATTCTTCTACTTTAGTCATCAAATTCTGAAACTTTACAATTTGGTCACTAACCCATAATTTGGGATGTTACAGACATTGTCTTAGTGGCTGAAACAAAAACCGAGCTAAATAGTAGACTGTCTACCTGGAAAATAGCTTTGGAAGAAAAAGGTCTAAGGATCAATATTGAAAAGACAGAGTATTTATGTTCAAACTTCAGTGGGAACCAAAACGATGAAGATGTATATATGCTTAGAAGGACACGTTCTCCCCTCAAAGGATTGTTTCAAATACCTAGGGTCTATGATACGTAAAGATGGGGGTGTAGATGAAGATGTTTCACACCGTATAAAGGCGGGATGGCTAAAGTGGAGGGCTGCTACTGGAGTTTTGTGTGACAAGAAGGCACCTCTAAAACTTAAGGGAAAATTTTATAGAATGGCAATAAGACCAGCGTTGCTGTATGGATCAGAATGTTGGGCTATCAAGAAGGATCACGTAAGGAAGATGGAGGCCGCAGAAATGAGAATGCTTCGATGGGTATGTGGTAGGACTCTGTGGGACATGACACCAAACTCTACTATTAGGATGTCCTTGGGGGTGGTGCCTGTATCCGAAAAATTGAGAGAGGGAAGACTACGGTGGTTTGGGCATGTCCAAAGACGACAACCATCGGATGCGGTTAGGAGGGTAGAGTCGATTACAGTCGACGGTACCAGAAGGAGAGGTCGACCAAGGCGGAAATGGGAAGACTGCTTGAGATCTGATTTGAAGGATTTAGACCTTACTGAGGACATGACCTCTGATAGGAAATTATGGCGACTTAAGACCAGGGTAGCCGAGTAGGGCGAGTCACATCCATTGGGTGTATCATCTTAGTCTTCTTTTATTGCCTTTGTAGTAATTTCATTAATTGTACTTTTTATACGTTTCTAGCATTGGAATTTATGAAGGCCTAGAACTAAGGTAGCGGAGTAGTGTTCCCTTAGTTTAGGTTCTAACCCATTTGACTTTATCCCTTCTCGAAGCCTGCTATCGTTGAATTATGTGTATACTGCTCATCATGTTTCAGCTTTATATTTTTGGTCGGGTCTTACGTTTCTGTCTATATGCAGATATTTTTATGCATGGGTTTATTTGCAGGGATTACTTCCCATTACAGACGTGCATATGAAGACTGCATATGAAGATTGTTCAACTACGTATTTTATTTATTTATTTAAGCATGCATTACATTTTATCTTTTTTATTAATTTTTGACTGGGCGGAGGTCTTCCACGGAAGCTGCTCTCAACCTGGCGTTGGTGGACAGCATACTACCCTACCTCCCCCTTACCCCATTGCATATGGGAATAAGGTTTTGTTGTTGTTGTTGTTGTTGTTGTTGTACCTGAACATTTCAATTTTTGGTCAAATGACCTATTTTAAGTAGAAATTATTAGTTGATTAATGATTATTATATATTTCTAATGTGATATTTTTACCTATGTTTAATTACTAATGTGCTACATGTCATATCATCACATTTGGTGATGTGATATATATCATATCATCACATTGAGTGACATCAATATTTTATCACATGTGAAAATATCATGTCAATAACATATGTTGATAGTTAGTCAATTAACAATTTTTATCTAATATGAATATTTTGATCAAAAATTAAAATGTTGAGAGTTAAAATATTAAAAATAAATAAAATAATGATCAAAATAATCATTCAGACAAATATTGGGGGCTAATTTTGAGATGCTCAAAATTTTCCATGTTTTCTTTCCATTCTCACGTTTCATTGGTTGGTTATGTTTCACGAGGATTGCAGCTAAGTTGCTTCTGCACCGTCAATAAAATCCAATCCAACGGATCAAAACCTCTAATTCCGTAAGCCGAATGTCTCCCCTTTTTTCTCACCTCTATATAAATTACGCCTTATTCCTCCTTCAAAGTACCAAATTGTTCGCGAGAAAAAAGTTACCGCAAATATAATTTTTTCTACAATTAGTTTTTAAGCCATGGATGCCGGATCAAAGGTGAAGAAAGGAGCCGGGGGAAGGAAAGGCGGCGGTCCAAAGAAGAAACCTGTTTCTCGGTCAGTGAAAGCTGGGTTACAGTTTCCGGTCGGTCGAATCGGTCGTTACTTGAAGAAGGGTCGTTATTCCCAGCGCGTCGGAACCGGTGCCCCCGTTTACCTCGCTGCTGTTCTTGAGTACCTTGCTGCTGAGGTGTTTTCAATTTCCCCCTTTATTATTTCCCCTTCTTTTTTAGCTTAGGGTTCGGTTGGTTAGTGAGAAAAGGGAAAAATAGGGTAGTTTACCGTTGAAGCTAAAACGCTAAATAAGTTAATTCGGTGTGATTACCTACTTTGAAAGTTCTCTTTATCTTCGTTTAGTCTTAAAATGCGCAAGCTATGTGCTTCATATGGTAAGTTTAGATAAAGGAAATTAGTCTAGAAAGTCCAAGTTTACCATTTATTCAATAAGAACTCTGCATTGAACATGAGTTTAACTTAATTGATTCATGGATCAACTCAGATGACCTGTTAATCAGAACTAAACCTGAAAGTTGAATCATAGCATTTGTAGTAATTTAAAGGTTTAGATACGTTATATATCAAGTATGCTGCTAAAAATTGGGGTTTCTTTATTTTCTGGTGTTGAAGGTTCTTGAGTTGGCTGGTAATGCTGCAAGGGACAACAAGAAGAATAGGATAATTCCAAGGCATGTTCTTTTGGCAGTGAGGAATGATGAGGAACTTGGGAAACTGTTGGCTGGCGTGACAATTGCTCATGGTGGAGTTCTACCCAACATTAACCCGGTTCTCCTGCCCAAGAAAAATGACAAGGCACAAGCAGTCAAGGAGCCTAAGTCACCATCCAAGGCTACCAAGTCCCCAAAGAAGTCACCTAAGAAGGCTTAGTCGTTGCTTCATTTATGTCTTATGTGTACTTTTGGTTGTAGAAAGATGTTGATGTTGGTACTGGTAGGAATTTAGGGCGACCCTACTAATTGTCTGTGTTGTTTAGACCAGCTTTTGTTTAAAGTTAATGAATCAAACTTGGATTATTTTAGCTGTTTTAATGGTATTACTTCATTAGGCCTTTCATGCAGAAAATTTCAAGAGGATTAGTAGCAAGAAGTACTTGTTGAAACTTTTGAAGTGATTTTTGACACTTGAATTATTGGACGAGTAAAAATTGTTAGAAGATGAAGAATTCATTAGAACTTTTATGCTGAAAATTTGATGACTGATGGCTGATTTTGATTTTTGACTTGTCTAGTCATCGGTTTGTTATAAAAAAATCGCTTAATAAAAAAGAATGACCAAACCATAAACTATTTTTTAGTAAATGTAGGTCCATATGTTTTATATGTTATCATTTTAAGCGTATTACTTCATAGTCATTAAAAAATTGATTAAACACAACTTCAATGCTCGTATTGCCTCTTTTTCTAGTGACGTTATTGCTTGCGATGTTATTACTCTCCGAGAGTCTCACATGGACCGTGGACCTTCCTCCTCGGCTTTTCAAGAGTAGTCTACATTTTCATCTCATTTCATGCATATTAGACTTTGAACTATATTTTTATTCCTATTTTTATGATTTTATCCTAGATTATGTTGATGGATAATTTTGCTCTTCGGATGCTTGTAATTTACTTTGATATTGATATTTTTGTTACACTTTCTTTTTTCCCCTCATGTTATCTATGCCACTCATATCTCTCTTTTCATTATTGATTATCATTTAACAAAAATGGAGAAAAATATATTGGGTGAATTTTAAATGGGAGAATATTTTTTAAGCATATGTTGAAAAAACAAGTACTTTCAAATGGGTTTTTAAGAAATTTCTAATTTATAACAAAATAAAATTTGAATGAAATAATAAATTTGCATTTATATTGGCAAAAAATTTGAAGTAAGGAGATTCAAACAAAATTTTCAAATCAATTTAAGCTCAAATTTGTCTAAATGTTCTATTAAATAAAATCAATATAAATACTCAATCAAATGTATTGATATTATATAAACAATATTGATATTATTTTTACAGTATCGATATTATCTGGGTTGTACTCTTAAAATTTAAAAAAGGTATTTGTTACTATTCGATAGGGGTGAGCAACGAAACCGAAAAAACCGAAAAATCGACACGAACCGAGTAAAACGGTTCGGTTCGGTTTGGCTTTAAACGGTTCGGTTTTCGGTTCGGTTTAAAGGCTTCATTTTTTTGATTCGGTTCGGGTTTTACCCATTTGTTCTATATTGAACCGAATAGGCAATTTTTGTAAAAAAAATTATAGTTTCAAGTGATTTTTTATTGAAAAACCGATAAATCAAACCGAACCGAACTGAAAAACTCGAACCGTTCAAAAAACCGAACCGAACCGAAAAAACCTGTTTCGGGTTTTTAACTATTCGGTTTCAGTTTCGGTTTAAATATTGAAAAACCGTTTATTTCGGTTCGGTTCAATTTTTAATAAAAAACCGAACCGAACCGAACCGAATACACCCCTACTATTCGATGAGTATCAATATTCATTTAGTAGTATTGATACAACCTTAGTATTGATGCTACTTAAACTTTAAATATTTTTGAAAAATTTCATATACCAAATTAATATCACCACTACCTTTTATTAATGATATTATTTGGAAGAGTATCAATACTAATTGAAAGATTACCCATACTTCTTTAGGAGAATCAATACTCATTGAATTGTTTACAAGCTAGTTTTGAATTAAATATGTGGAGTATTGATACTGTACGTGCAATATTAGTAATAATAACGTCTAATCAGTGACAGATCTAGAAATTTGAAAATGACTCCAAAATTTTTTTTTTCTAAAATAATGGTTTGGGTATTTTCTTATTTTTCCTTTCTGTTAGCACAATAAGCTAATATTAACAAATTTTGCAAAATAATATGTATGCACTTGGTCTCCTATGGGATCAAATGCATTTGTCCCAGGTCTAGATTATAGTTATTACAAGAAATGCTCTCTCAAACGATTCTATTAAGTTCTCCTACCATCCAAACAACTAAATTTTAATGAGAGACTACAAATACAAACTTCTAAAATATATTTGAAGATAAAAAATAAAAACAAAATCATTGAAAATATTTTAGATCTCAAAATCATCATTTATACTCTATTTTCTTTCTTTCTTTCATTGAACATTACCTTATTCTTCATTATAATTTTTATTCAAGTGTTTTTGGGTAAATATGAGATTATATTATGCAAAACGAATTATTTGTAAGAATTTTTTATTATTTATTAATTATATTTATCTTTAGAAAAAGAATGTTCTCAAGATTCTGAATATAAATAGGGAGAGATATTATAGGATTACACGTTCTCTTTAAAGGTGTAAATTTGTGAAATCCTTAACGTGATTAATTAAAGGGTAAACTACGCCAATGGTCACTCATGTTTGGGGTAGTTTTTCGTTTTCACCACTGATGTTTAAAAAGTTACAAATCAGTCACTAACGTTATTGTTTGTTACAAAATGGTCATTAGATGTTAACAACCGTTAGTAGACGTAACGGAAATCGCAACTAGATCGTTATCTGCTGAGTTGGATCGTTGACTGTCACAGTAGAACCATTTTGACCGACTCTTCTTCTTCCTCAACCCTACTCCATCTTCTTCCTCAACCCAACCAAACTGTTTCTTTTCCTTTCCCAATATTTTCCCAGAAAAAATCTTATTTTGAACATACTTTCCGGATTCGGGTTTGATTTCGGAGGTGGATAAGCAACAACATTTTCTTTTAGATTTAACCCCTCATTTTGATCATTTCTTTCTCATAAATACACTTTATAGAAACCAATCTTCAGTCACCGGAAAACATATCGGATTCCGACGGAGGATGTTGCAGATGTTGTTGCAGCTCCGTCTTCACTTTGGATCTAACAACACTTTTCATGTGGCTAATCCTACGAGATTCGAACCCTAAATGTTCTATAAAAAATGTTCCATAAAAAATATACTTGTCTTCGCTTAACTAAAACCTAAACACACCAAAGGATATCACCTTAAACCTCACGTTGAAGCTAAGCAACCCCAACAAAGATGGGTCTAGAAGGGAGGGTGAAAGTTTGTAATGCGCTGATGGATATGTGTGGGAAGTCTTGGATGGTGGCGAATATGAGAAGGGTTTTGGTGAGATGGATGAGAAGAATGTGGTGTCATGGATAGTGGTTTTGGATTGGGTGTTGATGTGGGAGGGTGTGCAGAGATGACAACAAAGTGCCGGTTGAAACTTGATATCCATCGACTGTGCAGTCTTCAATGGCTTCATGAACCAATGAGAGTGGAGCAGCAGGGTATAGGTGTAGCGTTTCCTTGATGACAGACCCAAGGTAAACTTAGTTTTTGGTGTCTGATTCTTTCACTAGCAGCCTATCTTACCGACATGGATGTTGAGTTCATGTTGGACCTTGTGCAATGCATCACGATTATTGAGTAATAAAGATAAAGCCCATGTCATTGTGATTGAGGTGGTATCTTCCGCCGCTAATAAAAGAGCCTATTGGATTATGACCATAGAAAGATCAATAATGAATCTCCATAATAGTTTAGTACTAGCATGGGCAAGCTTGTATTTATAACATCAATGAAGGATTTGGTTAAGAAATGGACGTACGAGAGTGTTGGCTTTATTGATGGTATCAGTATCGTGCTCCATTGCATCACGGAGAATAGCTAGCAACACCCCCATGAGATCTTGCTCACTATTTGCCTCATCTTCATCTATCTTACGCTTGTGCTCTTGTAGCCATCCTTCCATAACTTGGTCCAATTCTTTCGCTATCTTCTTCATAGACTCCTTATCTCCACCAATGTCCAAACCATCCCAGAAATGGCGGCACATCGAAGACCACGAACTTTCCAATTACTTCAAAGAAGTCGTTCAATGGCTTCTTCCATTCCAGGCTGTCATCTCGCTTCCTCACAATAATCCTTATGCTCACGTTAAGAGTAACATCTCTAAACCATCTCTGCATATTCCAGGCTGTCATCTCGCTTCCCCACAATGATTGTTGGTTATGTAGGGAATGTATTTAGCAAGGAGGGATTTCTACTTTTAATTCAGATGTTTTTTTGTGGATTTAAATTGAATTATATAACACTTTGTTCTTTACTGTCAGCTTGTGCATAGTCCGAAGATGTGGTGATGGGTAGATGGGTTCATGTTTATGGCTTGAAGATGAAGGGGATGGAGATGGATATCATGGTGGAAATTGCCATGCTGGATATGTATGCAAAATGTGGGAAGGTCGACATGCAATCAAAATTTTCAAGTGAATGCCGCGAAGGAGAGGAAATTATGGTCAAAATGGAATTTTTTTATGGGGAAATATTGGGAGATGAAAAGAAACAGTTTGGTTGGGTTGAGGAAAAAGATGGGGTAAGGTTGTAGAAGAAGAAGAGTCGGTCAAACTAGTACTACTGTGGCAGTCAACAATCCAACTCAGTAGATAATGATCCAGCTGCGATTTCCGTTACGTCTACTAATGGTTGTTAACGTCTAATGACCATTTTGTAACAAACGATAACATTAATAACCGATTTGTAACTTTTTAAACATCAGTGGTGAAAACGAAAACTACCCCAAATATGAGTGACCATTAGCGTAGTTTACCTTAATTAAAATAGTAGACATAAACTTAGTTTAAAAGTCAAATCACTCTAAATATGTGTTAATTTTTTAATTTCTAACAAAAAATTCCGTCAAAATTTTTAATACCAATTCACTTTGCTTTTTGATCACATCAATTGACTAAACATTTAAAATAACTAAAATAAAAAATTAATTTTAAAAAATCAACAACTACTTAGTAATATCACATTGATAATGTGTTATAAAATTACGAAATTTATAATAAAAACAAGAGAAAACATAATGTACACAGAGAAAATAATCTTTCTATTGCTTATGTATTATAATTTTGTGCATAATCCATGTTACGACTTCAACTACTATAGGGTGTTTGGTTCATGTTATATCTTATTATCAGGGGAATGAAATGTCATTCTCCCGTTTGGTTGGCCAACATTCCCAGCTCCCGATAATCTTTTATTACCAATAGTGGTATTTTGTGGGTATATTACCGAGAATGTGATTACATTTATTTCCTTAGGTATTGTTGGATTACCGGCGTTTTGGACTAAATTGTCTTTAATTTTTTTTATTTAAAAAATATCATTTTTCTGTCGTTGAATAAAAAAAATCTACGAAAGTTAAATTACAAATTTATTCTTAAACTATTTTAGATTTACAAAAAAGTCCATAATTATAATTTTATATGAAGTTCATGGGTTAAAATAAAATTTTACCTTTTCATTAAACCTATTTAATATTCAATTTTGTAAAAAAAGTTATATAAATTTTATGAATTTAAATTTTTAAAGAAAATATATAAATTTGTTATAGTAAAATTATAGTAGAAATCAACTTGTTAAGAAAACAATTATATAATAAGGACAATTTGATAAAATATACATTCTAATAATCTTTTATTCCTTTAACCAAACATGGTAATCTTACATTCATGCTAAACGAACCAAACACAAAATACAACATTCTCAATAATCTTATTCCTGCCGGTAATCCTGTTCCAACTGGTAATCTTATATTCCTTGAATCAAACACACCCTAAGATTATAGGAATATGAATTTCAAAATTCACAATACAATAACTATATGAATTATATGAATACGATTCATTGATTGATTTTGAAAGTTACATGAACATCCGCTTAATAAATAGATTTATAACATATTATTATTATTATTAATCCGACGGTTAAGATTCGATTCCACTACGTTATTTCATCAAACAATACTCTCATTTCAATGCTTCTTCTCCTCTTTCTCTCACAAGGGCCGACCGTTGGTGGCGTACAGCAAACGCTTCTCACCTCATTTCACCAGATCTCACTTTATCTTTCAGTTTACCAAAACACATTTCCATTATTTTAAATTCTTTCTTTTACATTGATTGTTAATGCCGAAGGCTTTTTCTTCTTCTAGGGTTTATTGGCTGTTCGATTAATATCTTCTATTTTCATGGTTGCTCCACCTGCAAGAGCTCGAGCCGATTATGCCTATCTCATAAAGCTCCTTTTGATCGGCGAAAGCCGTATTTTTTTTAATAAAAGTCTCCTTATATATGAATATTTATTTGAAATGCGATCTACTCGTTATTCTTCATCGTTTCTGAGAAATGCTATGCTATTTAAAAGGATTTGATTTCCGTTTTCAATATAGAAAACCTAGACGTGAGGCCGTGATTTGCTTTTGAAGATCATTACATTAGATTAAGCTTCATTTTAGATTTGTGTATTAACATATACGCAATTTTTATTCCGTTAAGTTGTTAAATCTATGCTGTTGGTATTTTAGGTTGCATTTATTGATTTATCTGTCTTGATATAACTCATTCACATGTGAATATCTTTTGTCTCGATTAGTGTTACTGAATACTGATTATGAATATCCTGGTGTCAAAGAATGTACATTTATATGTGGGAAGCGTTTCTTAATTCCTAGGATGGCCTGCTGCAAATAGTTTATTTGCTTTGATTAGGAACTAATAGTTGGTATTGCGTTAATTTGCAGAAGCTTTCTTTGAATTTGAGTTATGAATAAGTCCCTTTTTACTCTGTTATTGTGTGGTTGAGCAGGAGTGGGTAAGAGTTGCCTCCTTTTGCGCTTCTGTGATGGCTCATTTTGCTACAAGTTTTATCGCGACCATTGCGTTGGTGTTTTTCTAATCACAGTACAGTGATCTTTTTATTATGAAATTTTGTTACAGAAGCCTTATGGTTTAGTAATAATCTGTTTACTTTGGTAGAATTGACTTTAAGATAAGGACAATTGATCTTGATGGAAAAAGAATCAAACTGCAAATTTGGGATACTGCTGGGCAAGAGCGTTTTCGAACAATTACAACTGGTTAGCTTTTGACTCTTAATGTGTCATTGATTTAAATTGAATTATCTAATCATAATTTTATTCTAATCTGATTTACAATAAATCGGATAGCATGAGTTGGTATTGTTTTGCTTTAGCTTGTTAATTGTGAACATAATTGCACGATGTGAGCTACCATTTGCTCTCACCCTAATATTTCGGAACTTAATAATATCTTTCCTTCAAGGGTTATGCTGCTTTCTATTCTCTTTCTCTGTGGTTTTTAATCTGTTTGGAAGATAGGAATTTGTATGCTTCCATGGTTTGCATCTCTAATGCTTTCAAACCCACTTATTGTCATACTTCTGAGTTGTGTGAAAGGACTTGAAAATAAAATTAGTAACTATAGTTCGTTAGTGTTGATTCTCTTTCAGTTCTTTTTATTGTCTTCTACGTTCTTCTCTGGTTGTTGGATGACTTAATCAATTTTTCTATTTTTTGCAGCTTACTAACGTGGAGCCATGGGTATTTTGCTTGTCTATTATGTGACTGATGAGTCATCTTTCAATTGTAAGTACTGAACTTTTGCATTTTGATTTTATTTCCATACACATGCTGGTTGATCTTATCCACCTTTGAGACTTTTTGATTGTTTTTAGTGTTTCCTTGTAATATGCCTTGTTTTTGGATCATTTCACTTTTTGGCAATGTGGAAACTTGAAACATACTCATCTGGTTATCTGAGATTTTATTCTTCATTATAGTTAATGAATTAATACTCTTTCCTGCTTAGACATTAGAAATTGGATTCGTACTATCGAACAGCATGCTTCGGATAACGTCAACAAGATTTTTGTGGGTAATAAGGCTGACATGGATAAAAGTAAAAGGGCATGCTTCTCTTCATCTCTCTTCTATACTCGCACATAGTTTTGTTCGCATGCATCTGCGGCTACCCTTCTGATTGCATATTGCCCTTGTATATTTTTCTTGTCAAGTTGATTTAGGAACCTTTTTTTTCAGGCTGTCCCTACCTCCAAGGGCCAAGCTCTTGCTGATGAATATGGCGTCAAATTCTTTGAGACTGTATGTAAATTTTACTTCAGATTTTGTAGTTACTTATTGACATAATTAGCCAACGTTTCCTATATGCTCAAGAACCACACTAACATCATGCAGAATGCAAAAACAAACTTAAATTTTGAGGTCTTTTTTTCAATAGCCAGGGACATTAAGCAAAGACTTGCGGATACAGACTCCAAGGCTGAGGTATTGTTTCTCTTTAACTTGAACATATATAGTTATGCAAATCCATTTACCGTTGCCAATTGCTGTTTTTTTTAATCCGCAGCCACAGGCAATCAAAATTAACAAACCCGACCAGGCAGCAGGGAGTGCAGCAACCGATCAAAAATCAGCTTGCTGCTGGTCTTGAACAAACTATGTTGAGAATGAGATCTGAAGGGTACATTCTCTAATCTCTACTACTGTAGTACCTGTTTTTAGCCTTAAAAAAAACTAATTTTGGTACAGCTTATATTGTTTGTATTTATATTATCTTTGCTTATCGTTATTTTTACATCTGCGAACTCTTTGGTGTGAAGTGTTCGATTATATTAGATTATTTGCATTTGATGGCCAATTTATCCATCATTTTGATATGCTTGAACCAATAGTACAATTGTGGGACTTTGCATCTATGTTCCAATGTAATAATAAAAGAAGTTTATAAGATGAACTTTGGGAGCATTGTTCCCAAATAAAATTTGCAAATCATTCTACGCTGGAGTTGAATTCAAGTCCAAGCAACTGCTGCAACGCAAAATGAAACTTTATCTGCGAAGTAATAAAATATTTTAATAAAAAAATGTTAGAGTAAATATAATAATCGCAACTTTCAACTCTGATATCTATATTTTCCACAATTAAAATTTTATTAACTGCTTCAGTTGGTCTTTTGCTTTTTGGGACAAAGATATGTGACATTGCACACTTTTCTGATTGCACAACAAATCTCTGATACTGGCACTGAGATGTACAAATAGTTTCTTGTTTGCTTTCACATTTTATATTGATATTTATGTTTGGAGTACAAGTACGGGTAAATTACACTTTTAGTACCTAAATTATCATTTTTATTTTGTTTTGGTCACCCAACTATTATTTTTTTTCTAAAACATACTTATGTTTTGGTTTTTTTTTTCATCCTCCATTTAAAACTAATAAAACCGTTGATATGACATTTTTAAATTTTTTAATGATGATGTGATATTATTTTATGACGAAAAATCAATATCATTTTTAATTTTTTAATGGTGGGTGACCAAAATGAAAATAAAACGTATTGTTAGGTATGATTTTGAAACATAAAATTAGTTGGATGGTCAAAATGGAATAAAAGTGATAGTTGAGTTACTAAATTTTTAGTTTACCCTATAAGTATTTGATACATGTATATCTTACTTCCTAGAAGTTTTTCATTTTATGAGTTAATTGCACCAAGCACTCTCAAATCATGATCCAGATTTTAAATTGGTTTCAAAATTATTAAAACATTCTAATTAAGTATTTACAATATCGGTATTGCATCAATCAATTTATTTTATCAATCTAACTTGGATAATTTTTTTATGCGTATCAAGACAACTTGGATCTTACTAACCTTTTTATTTGATCAAATTTGAAATATCATATCTAAGCTATCCGTATAACAGGTACACGCATATAAAATTTGATTTATCTTTTAAATATGTTTCGTGTTTGATCCAAATTGGTATTTAGTGCCCAAGCTGCCAGTTAGATCGATTGAAGAATTTGATTAATAAATATTGATACTTTAAGGACTTAATTTAGAGGCGTCTTGTAAATTAACTGTTTCAAAAATTATCTTTGAATATTTTATCATAACCCAATATTTTTTAATTAAAAATATAAATACGACACAAGGCGGATGATGTAAACCATTGCCTAACTTTAGCATAAATCCAATATAGTTTCCAATTCTTTCGACTCTTTAAAATGCAGTGCAGAATCTAAGTAGCTATATAAAGAAAGGCAAAGTGCTTTAGAACCAAGGAACAAACTTTGAAAGTGACAAAGTAACTTAAAATAAGAGGGAATGTCAGTAATCTAATGCCACATACAAAATATTTTTCTACACGGGTTGGCTTGTTTTTTGACTTGCCATTCGTTGCTTATAGGTTGAAAGATTTGTCTATTTTCACCTTGTTTCTTTAAGTTAGGTCATTCCCCAACCTTAGAGAAAAGTTTATCACCTCTTATTTTAGGCACTTTCTCTTTGATATGGCCTTGTCTTTCAAGTATTTCACGGCTCTCGTTATCCCGTTATGAGGGACGAATTTAGGATTTTATACTACAAGATAAACACATAACAGTTTATAAGGAAACAACTTATAAAATTTCAGAAAGTTAAAATAGATTATTAATATAAAATATATAAAATATAAAAAATTTAAAAATTTCAGAAGACGAATGTCCACTCACTCCTCAATCCATCGCTGCCCGTTATTTCATAGCATTTGTCTTCTAATTTAAGCTAATTTTGTCTCTAGAAAATATTGTACTCAATTATAGCTATTGAAAAGCTTTAATTTTTGTTGATATTGCTTCTAAATCCATTTCACTTTAGTCAAACCTGCTTTATCTTTATCTTTTAACATGCAATATAAGACCCATAAAATGTTTTCTTTAGGTTAATTACATGAGATGTCCTCAAATTATTGTTTACATTTTAAATTGGTTTCAAAATGCAAATCATTTTAAATATATTATCAAGGTATTGATACTTCATGGTATTGGTCTTTTATCAATCAAGATCATCCATCAGCTTAGCAGTTATTTTTTAACATTAAACGTGATCTTAGAAATGCTATCACATGCAAAATAATATGTGAATTAAATTTTAAATACATATGAGGTGGTCGTGGTTTGAAGTGGTCTTGTTAGTTGAATATGATATTAGTTCGTTTAGACGATCATGATTCATCCTCTCTTATTTGAACAGAAAATATCGTTTTAAAAGTTGTGAGAGATAAAAATGAGAGTTCCTTAAAGGAAATGTGATAAGAATCTCATATGAGAATCGGGATCCCTTCTTTGGAGAGAGAAAATCTAGCTACTCTAGGTTATGAGTGCAAGGTGACAAAGTGGTACGAAGGAGGGTTGACTTATAATCCCAAGAAATGTCAAATCATAATAAATCTATCTTCTTAGCTTATTATTTGTTCAGCAGGGAAATGGTTGTCTTAACCAAATTATCTCAGATGATAACTATTTAATATTGTGTAATAGTTGAACGTGTGATATACCATCAGACGGGCGGATACATATTGGCCCTATAAGGGTTAAATGTGTATCCATTATTTTAAATTAATTAATAAATATAATTTAATATATTAAGAGAAGAAGAAAAAATGAAAAATTTTACATATCCATCGTATTGAAAAAATAATATTAAAATTCTTAAATTTTATTTATAAATTTTTAGATTCGTCACATCAATCAAATATATGTTATGACTCATGAATCGTAACAGAATTGTTTATTACTGAGTCGTGTTAGTTGATTAAGGAGGCTCATTATTTTGAAACAGTGCCTCGGGCCAAAAAATATATAACAATATGTGTATTTGTAACTAAAATTTGATGACATATTTTAAATATAATCTTTGTGAAACTCAAATCAAATCGGCGGAAGCACGTGATCTATATGATACTACTATTTTCAAGATACAATTAAAATGTTTTAAAGTTCATACGAATATATAGTTAGGATTGTAGTTTGAAGGCGTTTACAACAATTAAAATTTTCCCTTGAACTAATTCTAAAGCAATCAGATAAGACCAAGCTTGTAAAATGTACCAAATATTTGTAACCTTGCATTTCCTTTGGGTATCTAAAGCTTTTCTTAGATCATTTGCATGGCTATCAATGAGACTGAAAAATTATTAGATGAATTCAGCTTACCACGTTATTCGTGACCCCAATCAATAAAATTCATTCATCTCATTATCTTTCAAGGTGAGTTTTTATCTCTTTCCTACATATAAACAGAAAATGGATAGTTATTTTGAAGTTATTTTAAAATGATTGAGTCTTATTAATTGGAACTATGAATGACTTGATGAGTCAGATTCATCAAATAATTTCTCTAACAAGACTACAACTTAATTAACTAAATTCAACCTGGCATAACAAAAAAAGAAAAGAAAAGAAAATAATCACTTTATGATAATTACAAAACAGTATAGAAACAAATGAAAATGAACATTTTTTTGAATAATATGTTGATTTTTTTGGCAATTTACTTGAAAAATCATATTTTTAAGTAGGGTGTTTGTTATAATATCTATCGGAAGTTATCTGAAATGTATGATAATTTCCCAAAGTCGCCTAAAGTACATGATATTTTTTTAATATTTTATACATATACTATAATTGGGATAATTAGATGATACTACATAAAAAAAAATGGCTGTCCCTTTTTTCCATATGTATGGGGTAAGGGGGAGGTAAGATAGTAGGTTACCCCTAACACCAGGTTGAGAGCAACTTCCGTAAGAGACCTCCGAATTATGAAATACCTTAGATGATACTACATAAGTTATTTGATAATTTATTCATCTTCTAAAAGACACCATATAATCCAGACAACTTTCTACGGATACTATAACAAAGATTTTAGTTAAAAAATAATTTTTTTATATATTAAATGACCAAATACTTTTTCAAAATATATTATAGGAGCAATTTTGCGAAGGAAAATCAATCAAAGGGGCTCTTGAAAACTTCTTTGTTTCTAGAAAAATTAACCTCTGGATCCCTTAATTAAAGAAAGCGTCTACAAGGAATGGGAAAAAGCATTGTAACGTAAAGGAAAATAGGGGATGGGACTTAGCTTTTATTATTATAATAAAAAACTCAATGGCAGAGATTGGAGACAACAATCATTTTTCTTGTTATGCTGTTCTTTTGCTTTTGCCTTTTCTTTTTGCACTGAAATAATGGGTTTTCCGGTTAATCATGCCTTGAAGAAATATGCTGAACAAAATAATAAAAAAAGGGGCTGTTCTATTAATATTTTGTAGCATTGCTTCAATTACAAACTTCAAATTAATCATGTTGAAGCTGATTTGATTGGCCTTTTATCCGAAAATCATGCAAAAATCAGCTTAAATTATTAATATTTTGCACATAAAACTATGCCAAAAGGCCAATACTTCCAAAACTATTTTACCATTTTTCCCTATATATATATATATATCCTATGGTCGCTTCTTCATTATTTTTGCCATCTTACTTGGAGATTTGGCTTTTAATTAAGCAAATTTCATGGAGAAGTGTAAATTGTAACACCAAAGTCACCTTTGCTGTTGAAAACAATGGAGCCCTTGAGGTAAATGAATTGCCAAGTCTACCATAAAACCTGCCCTCAAATTTTCTTCTCAAGTCACAATAAAACTTTTCAAAACTCCTTCCCGAT